ACGGTACTTTTTTTGGCAGGTAGCTGATTTATAAGGAGTAACTTAGGTTACTTTTATTTTAGAAAAATAAAGTTAAATTCCACGCGGACGAAGTCGCGGGAACAGCTTGTTTTTAATAAAAACGGTTTATTTGATAGAAAAAACATCTTTTTTGTGGTACTTGAGAATGTTGAAGCCTGTTGTTTGTAATATTGAAATAACCGTTTTTTACTACTTGCAGATGAATATAAATACGGTACATACACCAAAATAACATATTTTACAATTTTTGTCCGTCTGTCTGTTTGTTCCGGCTAATCTCTGAAATGGCTGGACTGATTTTGACGGGACTTTTTTTGGTATCTGATGTAATAAGGAGTAACTTAGGCTACTTTTATTTTAGAAAAATAAAGTTAAAAACCACGTGGACGAAGTCGCGGGAACAGCTAGTGTATAATATATTAGAGATACCTACGTGTTTTTTTATTGATGACTAGCTGTACACGCGATTTCGTCCGTGTTGAATTTAACTTTATTTTTCTAAAATATAAGAAGTTAAATTCCACGCGGACGAAGTCGCGTGTACAGCTAGTTGTCGGTAGTCTAGCGATTTAGCTAGCACACTGCTTTGATTCCTGCTTGGTGGTCGAGGGTTCGATTCCTCGCACGCTGCAAACATTTGTATTCATGAGTATGATTGTTTGTAACGGTCTGGGTGTTTTCTATGTATAGATAATATATATGTATTTACGAAAAAAAATCTTTGTATTTATATCAGTACCCATAACATAATCTTCAGCTAGCTTAACTTGGGTCTAGATGAAGCTGTGTGAATTGTCCTGAGATTACTATTATTACTATAATAAATCTTTTCAAATCAGCCGATGTTTATTTTTGCCATAATACGTGCTGTTACCATGTGATAATATTACGTACGTACTTATTAAACTATTAACTTATTATTAAATTGTTTGTAACGGTCTGGGTGTTTTCTATGTATAGATAATATATATGTATTTACGAAAAAAATCTTTGTATTTATATCAGTTGTCTAGTACCCATAACATAATCTTCAGCTAGCTTAACTTGGGTCTAGATGAAGCTGTGTGAATTGTCCTGAGATTACTATTATTATTAATTGGTACACAGGTAAACTACTAACTAGGCCATATTGGTGTTGTTTGTTATGGTGAAAAAACTAGTATATATATAAGTTACACGTACAATTTCAAAGACTTATTTCTTGAAAACTACTGGCTATTCTGAAATAAAACTTTAGGGTTTGCATATGTAATGTTTGCATATAAAATATGATTAAAGGTTACCAGTGTATTTACACTTTTACTGAACAAACAGAGTTGTTTAATACTGAAAATATTGTGTGGAAGGCATCAATTACTTTCAGTGCATGTATAGCTTTTCTCTTTTCCTAATTATTATTATTATTAAGTTTAAAGTGGTTGAATTTTACGTAAGGAGTATTTATACATTATTTCTAATTTACCATTTATTTTAAGTTTTTTAAACTCTATTCATCGAGACCTATCTAATGAGTCCAAACACGATATTTCTGCTGTAAGTTTTCGAAGAGTATGTTCATCATCTGATAATACTGGTGCCAGCATGAAGTCAAGGTTAACAGATAACTAATTACTTTTATTTCGTCAAAATCTTTAGATTACGTATAATAAATTCATAATATCGCTACCTATTCAAATCAAAACAAGTATTAGGTACTTCATGTACTAGTATATAAATTCATCAACACACAAGTAAATGATTTTTAAATATATTCAGAGCCAAAAAATCTTTGTGCATTTAAAAAATTTTGCCGATACGGATTCACTATTGCAGTAAATTGTTGAAAAAATATATATATCGAGTATAGGTATCTACTACTATCGACGAATACATTTGGCAACAATGCATGGTCTCGGTCGGAACGGCAACATCGCATATTAGAATACAAAGATAGTGGTAGAACGCGGAACGGCAACATGTTGCCGTTCCGCCACGCTACCGTTATAGTGGTAGAAAGAGAGAGATAGTGGAATCAGCAATATCTACGGATCGTGGCTGGATCAACTAAGTGAGCAAGTGTATATATATATATATATACATTTGTCTTTAATTCAAAGGAAATATAAATAATGACACATTTAAAACAGTAATAAGTACGTACGTAATGTTATCACATGGTAACAGCACGTATTATGGCAAAAATAAACATCGGCTGATTTGAAAAGATTTATTATAGAAATAATAGTAATCTCAGGACAATTCACACAGCTTCATCTAGACCCAAGTTAAGCTAGCTGAAGATTATGTTATGGGTACTGATATAAATACAAAGATTTTTTTTCGTAAATACATATATATTATCTATACATAGAAAACACCCAGACCGTTACAAACAATCATACTCATGAATACAAATGTTTGCAGCGTGCGAGGAATCGAACCCTCGACCACCAAGCAGGAATCAAAGCAGTGTGCTAGCTAAATCGCTAGACTACCGACAACTAGCTGTACACGCGACTTCGTCCGCGTGGAATTTAACTTCTTATATTTTAGAAAAATAATATTAAATTCAACACGGACGAAATCGCGTGTACAGCTAGTCATCAATAAAAAACACATAGGTATCTCTAATATATTATACACTAGCTGTTCCCGCGACTTCGTCCACGTGGTTTTTAACTTTATTTTTCTAAAATAAAAGTAGCCTAAGTTACTCCTTATTACATCAGATACCTGCCAAAAAAAGTCCCGTCAAAATCAGTCCAGCCATTTCAGAGATTAGCCGGAACAAACAGACAGACGGACAAAAATTGTAAAATATGTTATTTTGGTGTATGTACCGTATTTATATTCATCTGCAAGTAGTAAAAAACGGTTATTTCAATATTACAAACAACAGGCTTCAACATTCTCAAGTACCACAAAAAAGATGTTTTTTCTATCAAATAAACCGTTTTTATTAAAAACAAGCTGTTCCCGCGACTTCGTCCGCGTGGAATTTAACTTTATTTTTCTAAAATAAAAGTAACCTAAGTTACTCCTTATAAATCAGCTACCTGCCAAAAAAAAGTACCGTCAAAATCGGTCCAGCCATTTCAGAGATTAGCCGGAACAAACAGACAGACAGACAGACAGACTAAAATTATAAAAATAGTTATTTTGGTATATGTACCTTATATATCTTCATATGCATGTAGTAAAAAACGGTTATTTCAATATTACAAACAGACACTCCAATTTTATTTATATGTATAGATTATTATTTATTTATTTATTTATTCATCCAAAATAATACAAATTGTGTAGGATAACGTAATAGTAACATTACAGTAAAATTTTGTCAACAACATAATAGCAACTTAAATATTAAATCTCGGTATATCTATAGACTTGCTGGCCCCAGCGACTTCGTCCGCGTGAAAATTTTATTTTATTTTTCTAAAATAACAGTAGCGTAAGTTACTCCTTATTACATCAGCTACTTGCCAAAAAAAGTCCCGTCAAAATCGGTCCAGCTATTTCAGAGATTAGCCGGAACAAACAGACAGACAGACAGACTATACTATGCTATACTATGTAATGATTGATATACCTAAAATAAATAAAATATCTGAGGTTTGGACAAAAACTCAAAGGGTAATTTATTTTGAAAAAGTATTTTGAAAATACTTATTTTGCTTTTAGTGTTATAGTACTTTAAGTGTTATATTTTAAGTAACAATGTTTAATTATAATTAATACCACTGCACCAACACTCCGATCGTGCAAGAAATTTAGCTGTTTCATTATTTTTTAGTTCAATTAGTGGTCTACCTAAGTCCTGGGCTAAGGGGGGGGGAGAGTCATGACCCCCCATGACTCCCAAGACCTCCATGACGCTCCCCCCTGGATCCGCCGTTACGTCTTTTCTTCATTCGCTCAGTAACGTTGTTACAAAAGGAAAAATTCCCGTCCAAAAAATAACAAGTATTGAGGTTTGATCTGGAGTCACGTTACTCCAGACTGATTTCTATAAATATTTAGATTAGATAGACTATTATTCTTGAAATACTAGCTAGACATTATTAAGTTACTGTAGTCATAATGTAGTAGCCCAAACGTGCCAATGAGGAAGCCCTTGGCAAATGCTGCACCCTGATTGGCCCGTTTGAATTGGATCAAGAACTGCTCGTATGCCAAAAAGGTGGATTTGTATAAAATCGTGTATAAATCGCTTAATTATTATTATTACTCGTCGTGACAGTTGTGGCTCAAAACGGATCAACATTTATATATGGTCAGCTGGCATTAGATCAACAAAAGGCCTCCGGATCAACAAGTGAAAATGGATCAACAAAAAACTACCTATACGGCACGTCTGAGCCACAAAGTGCCCAAGGGGATATTTATATATATATATATATATATATATATATATATATAATAAGAAGAATATATTCGACCGTGCTGTTATTTTCTTATACGTACGAGTAGATTATATGTTAATTAATCACAATTCTGAACAAATTTTGTTGATTCTCTTTGAAGTTCATAGGGTATTGTATGTATTGGATAATGCAACGGACATAACATTATCATTTGTGTAAATTACATTATATTCAGCAAATAATTAATAATTATGTCAACATTTTCCACCGTATAAAGATACAACATTATGCCAAATGTCTCTTTAGGCAAACCTATTCGACATATGCTGTTTGTGGCAAAAATATAGACTGTTCTCATACATAGCAAAGATAATAAACAACATTATAATTCATGATAAGGATCTGTTTGTTCTTTTTTTAATAATAATTTTATATTTGTGTATATCTCCAGTTACACTGGTCCTATGACTTGAGTTATCTTTCATTGGCTTTCCAGTTGATGAGCCGGGATGTTTTGATGATACTTTATAGACGTTGGTTACTATTTTCTATCATATAAAACAATATAATTTCAGTAAAGTAGGCACATAAGTAAAGTAAATAACATAATCAACAATGTTTTGTTATTTTCAGAACAGACCGCCGAAGATGAGTTCAAGCGAATTTAGGATAGAGCGCAACGTTGAGTTGTCGCCTGAAACTAAGAAAATCGCTGAAGAGGAGTTAAGAGAGACACCCGAGAGAGTAAGAGAAGCCATAGAGCGCCTTCGAGAACTTCTTAAGGAGAATGATGACTTGTACTATAGCGATGACGACGAGATGTTGACTATTTTCCTGCGGCCTTGCAAATGGTATCCCGAAAGTGCATTAGCATTGGTGAGTAATTTATATATTATTTACTGAAAATAAAAATTTTAACAGGAGATATTTGGGTATCGTAGTTCGCACTATATGTAACAAACAGCCTCCATTCAGGAGGTTAGATGAGGTGAGGTCAAGCTTCGCATATTCGTAGCAGTTGCAACAGTTGAGTGGCAGCGACACGCCTATATTTTTTTAGCTTCGCAGGGACGTCTGTGGAGAGGCGGCTGATTTTTACTACCTTAACTAGGGTCTAATTTAGGCGTAAGTGTAAGCAGCAATAATAAAGACACGCATTTATTATTGCTTATATAAAAAACTTAAAAATATATACGTGTTATTTGTTAATTAATAGTTTTCAACCATGAATTAGACAGCATGATTGTCATTAAAATGTAGGCGTGAATAGGATGAAATCATAAAATTTTTATTATTTTTATGTTATTTCTAAAACGTCCTATATAATTAATGTCTTATTTCTGAGATCTCTGTATTAATAATCAAATACTATTTATGATCATAATGTATAATTGTCACAATAACATTTAGGTAAGCGAAATCTTTAGCTTCCTATCGATACCATTAAAGTAGCAAAATTTAAATATTTACGCTAAACTATACCTACTTATTATAAGGTAGGTAAAGTACGTTGATAAATCTAGAATAGAATTACTTGTTAGATAGTGTTCGGTGTTTTGTTTGGAAATAATTTCATAATTGGGATACATGGGGTCACAGCGAGCACATAGATAAAGAAACTCGTAGAACAATGACATAACTGCCATTGACATGATCACGAAAAGATTTCGTAAACGGTTTCATACAAGACTTGAATAGTTCACTGGAATATGTTTCTTACACATATTATAGTGAAATGTATCAAAGAAATATACGAGTATACTTCATTGTCAATGAATTCCGTTGTTTATATATTAAAATGCTTGAATGTATTTTGTAACCACTTCGTTACGGTACGGTAAGTGCTTAGTTTATCAATATTTCTGCAGTTCAGTTATAATATTACTTTTATACTAGTTTATGATAAATCTTGACAAAGATTTTGACAAATTTGATTAAATATAGAAATTTAACAAACAAAAGTAAATGTATTGAATTCATTCTCCAAATGAATAAAAAGACCACTAAAATTTTGAGATATGAAAGTATTATAATGTTTCACGATATGTACAATAAGACAACTGATTTCCATTATTCTGTTTCTGTTCGTTGACTTAGGATTATATTAATCACATAGAAAATTTGTCTGGAATTGCATTTCTTTCATTGCATGTGTTCCAGGGTTATATGGCAGGGTCAATATAAATTTCTACTATACTACTGCTTTTGCTACTGAAAATGTTTGGATTGATAATGATGACACATCTTGATTGCCACCTACGTGGTATAATAAAAGTAATGACGCTGAAAATATCTTTATACTTTTAAAATTTGACAATTTCTTTATTAAGTTATAGAGATAGCTCTACTCATTCTACAAAACAATGCACTTTGTGGTCCATTCTACCTGTTCTGCTAAAGGATCTAATTTAGGCCATGACGGTATAAAGTAATTGTTTAAGAAAAATAACCGAACCACTAATTTGTTAGAAGTTACCGGAAACAAGAGGAAAAGCAAAGTTGTAATGTACATCTGTGATAATTAAGTTCATAATTTGCTATATAGAGCTACATGTATGTGCATTTAGTTTAATGGATTCCAAAACTAGTACAATTTCGTCGATTATTGTAAAATCTTCAGTATCAGTTTAATTGTATCAGAAATGGTGTAGGGTTCTCGATAATAGCTACTCGGCCTCGTATCTATAATGACCTCCTATTGTGACTGTGCATACTGTTCTAGATTTGCGCAACTTTTTATAGTGTAACGAAACTATACGCCGTCTCTGCAACACTCCAAATAAGAATTAATAGGGTGTAGTTATTAGGAATTTCATTCATATTTGGTATAATGACCTAGACCCTTAGTCGTTTATTTCAAGGGCGCAAATGGGCTTGAAGTTTTGTCAGGCTTATGTGTTCATTGAACTCGAGTTTCAGAACCATTAATTTTGACACAACGATCCCTACTTATTCTTACTGCATATAATTTATTTTATTTATTTATTTGATTTTAATTCGGATTACATCCATATTGTGTTAGTAAAAACTTATAAAACTATGTTCGTAACTTATAATATACATATACGTAGATATATTTAATTCATATATCTGTGTCCACGTCCAGAAGCACTGGGTCCACAATGCAACGTTATCCAGTGCCTCTGGAGCGGACAATCAGGTATATTCGCAACAGTTTTTAGGATGCTGTTTGAGCTCCCCCGAATTCTAGACATCAGTGATGCAGCTCTTTTACGCATTATGGCTTCAAATCCATCTACCCGCGCTGCTGCAAACATCTCTGATGCGCTACAGAACCGAGAGAGCTCCAACAACATCCTAAACCCATTATTATACTGTATACGAAGAGCGTTGTATGCCCTCTGCGTATACCCAAACCATAGGCCGCACGTGTAAAACGACTGACAATACGCTTTAAACAATGTTGTCTTCACGTCGTTATTACACCGTGCAAACCTACGGGCCAGCATATTACATCGGACCGACAACGCTCTTCGTTCCCTCTCTATGTCATAGTCATCATTCAAGTCCCCCGATACAATGTGACCCAGGTATTTAAACCGCGACACCCGATTCAATGGTGTGCCATAAAGATAATATATAATGTAAATCACTATTTATTAAGAAAAAAAGTGTAGATCTATAAAAACACATATTTTCCTTCTTATCAATGGAAATGAAATATAGCTGTTATATATTTTTATAGGGTTATATAAAATTATAGGGTTAATAATGAGTTTGTTAAAAATATTTTTTTATTAATATAACAAAAATATTACCTACGTTTATACAAGTTAGCTTTAATTACATATTTTATATATATCTCCATTTCATCCATATGTCCAGATCTAGCCAGTGTACATACACTGGCTAGATAGATGGCATTGTTACATAACAATTTAATCTATTTATTGTATCATAAAGTGGTGCAATAAAATTATTCTTATCCTAGGTATATCCGTTAGACTTTGTCCTTTTATCTACATGCCCTGAGCCTATGAGTTCTCAGACTAACAGATAAAATAATATGTACCACAATGTAGTTTAGCATATTTAATTATATTATATTAGTATACATACTAGGCTAGTATCTATATTGGTAACTTATGAGTATTTGCTTTCATTATAGAATATTGACATAAGATGACTCAAAAATGATTAAATTGTTTCTATTAAGCGTATATCTCTTACATGCCCATGCGCATACCTAATTGTTACATAGCCAATCTATTCAATATTCGGTATGTTATTTGTAGTTAACAAAACGACGTATCTTTAGTAGTATATATAATAGTTACTTTTGAATAATGAAAATGAAAGTACAGTGTAAGGCGGCTAACACCTTAGTCTTCGTCGTGTAAAAATTAAGTGTATGTTTCTGGGGAGATATCTATACCTATCTATAATAAAATTATAACGAGGTATAGTTTGTATGTTTGTTCGTGGTAATCGCCAGTTCTAGTGATCCCATTTTTAAAATCTTTCTCTTTTATAAAGGTATATTATCCCCGAGTGTTATAGACATAACATCACGCTACGGCTAGTAGGAGTGGAGCAGCAATGAAAAATGTGGCAAAACATTATATGTCAAAATATTAATTTTCAGAGCTTTCGCTGCTTTTGCTTTGTTTAGGTTAAAGTTACTCAAAAAATATGAACATATGTTTCATTAAAAATTCTAAAAAAATGCGCGGCAACATATGTCTAACTTTTAAGGTTAACTCACTATAACCTTTTTTATAGATAGATATTGGGTCCGTGAAAAGCCGGGGTTGGTTCATAGTAAATAAATAATAATATTATTAAATTAATGGAATAAAACTAGATTGAAATCCGATTATAAAGTCGAGGTATCAGTTGTTTGTTTATTACTAATGACATTAAACATTTCTACTGTTTTAAATATCACAGGAACGCTTAGATACCAGCCATAGATATAAGAGAGATGGTGCACGATGTCAAAGTTCACATTTTATCGTGAAATATATAGATAAGAATTATCAGCTCTGTTGCTTTTAAACGTGTACTGTGGCACTTTCAGCTTCACATCATTCAACGCAAGTAATAATTATAATTGGTCATAATAATATGTAGGTATTTTTGTTTGTTATCGTTTTTTTTCCACTACTGTAGAGACAGAAGTAAAAATTGAAATATAAAGTTTGCTGTCGTCAACACTAGAAATCAATGCAACCGTTTATTTCTGTAGTCAATAATATAATTTAACTCCTAGCTGGTAGTGTTAACGGATTGAATTCACTATTACATGTAATGTTATGTCAATATATGATATTATAAATATTTAAAGTAGGAAGGGGAAGGAGTGGGTGGGGTAGGTTACCGCATAGAGGTCTACCTGATGTTCGTCTATTTGGTGCATGCATGAACTATACAGAGATTCATGAGAATATCTGGCAATATTCTTCATTATTAATAATCCTTTCTCGATTTTACGGGTCTATTATTGAATGTTAACGAGTCAATTCACCCCTTAGGCGGTGATATTAGATATTATGTATTCTTGAGTTATTTATTAGTCTTGTAGGTAATAATTTGGAATGAAGATTGATATCGTTTAAATTAAATAGTTTGAACAAAGTCTGTTACTACTAGGCTATGAAATATAATATCATATATGTTCCTTTTATTTCTTACACAGTGTACGTACTTTTTATACTGTTGTATGTATGTAGGTCGTGTGCAAGTCGTATTCAAGTTATTTTCCGATAGAAATAAAAAAAAAATAGAATTTAAATATGCTTACTAAAATTGAATAAAAAATATATAAAAAAGTGGCATATCTATAAACCTACTAAAGAAACTGTGATAACGGTGGAATTGATGAGCGGTGATACGAAATAATTGAACAGTAAGTGTTACTAACTGTCGCCGTATATTATTTAATTAATAATTATACATGTTATCTTATTATAAATTAATATGTTTTATCTTAAAAA